GGGGGGGGGGGCGGCTGCTGCAGCCTTTAAGATACTGTCCATGGGTGTAGAGCCCACAGCTAGGCAGAGGCAGAGTCCCTGATCCCCTTGCTCTGTGCCTTGCCAGGTGTGGCCTCAGACTGTCCTAGGGGCCACCCAAAGGATACTTGGAGCCGATGACCATCCTGACAACACCAGGGGTGTCGCCTGCTACTCGGGCCAGCTGTCCAGGGAGGTCTTCAAAGGAGGCACGGTCGGTGAAGGAGAAGAGGAAGAGGAAAGCATCTGTCTTCTCCTTGCAAGCCTGGGGAGGGAGAGGCCGATGTGAGGCTTGTAACCAGGGGGCCAGAACCTCTGATCAGCCGCAGGGCCCTGAGAAGTCTCAGCAGATCCCCTCCTTCCACAGGCCCAGAGCAGGGACTGGCTGGCCCAGGGCAGAGCTGGGGCTGAGACCCGGTCCCCACGGCCAGCTCAGCCTTCTCCCACCCGGGGCAGCACCCCCCAGGCCACGCCCAATTCTGCCTCCTGCAGACCGGGCAGGTACTCAGAAGCCCACCTCAGACAACCAGCTCCTCCCAGCCCCTCCCAGGCCCACCTGTCTGCTCACCGGCAGCATGTGGTCGAACTTTTTGAGTGCAGACTCCCCGCAGTCCCAGAACTCAAAGCGGAACATGACAACACGGTCACTGGCCTGCAGTTTGGCTGGCCAAAATACCACGGTGGTCTGGATGCCTGGGGGAGGGTCAGCTATTCAGCATGGGAGAGGCGGAGTGGAGAGGGGCCAGGGGCCAGGAAGAAATAGGAAGAAGATACATCCCCGGTGGGTCCACCAGCCTGGTGCGGAAAGCATAGTCGCTGACCCGGGAAAATTCTCAGGCTGATGGGGGGAAACCAAACTGCTCTAGAAGGGTCTCCAGCCTGCCAGAGAGATGCAGCCCCAGCCCTAGCCATGACAAAGCAGTTCACTCGTACGTACGAGGGGACCCAGACGTACTGGATGCTGGAGGACCCAGTTGCAACCTGCTGGTCAATCAGCATCCAACGGAAGGAAACCGGAAGAGAAGATCGGTGTTCCCTGAGCGCCCATCTTGTGCCAGCTCGGCGCGAGTTATGTTACCAACACGATCTCTAGTACCAATCCCACAATACACTGGGGTTGGAACTATCATCTCTGACGAATAGAGGAGCCAGTGAAACGCCTTTCCAAGGTTGCGGAGTAAACGATGGGTCAAGGGCCAGTCTTTCCTCCACCCCAGGGAAGGCCTCCCGGGATGCACTCACCAGCGGTCTCATGGTGTACCACGGGTACCTCTAGGCCAGCCAGCTTGGCCACCAGTGCTGTCTTGCCCACGCCGCTCTTTCCAGACACGAAGATCTTGTAGCTGGCTGTGTCAATGGCCACGGGAGGGGGCAGCACTGGTCGTTCCAGAAGCCCTGGGACAAGAAGGGAGCCAGGTGGGGTCAAGAGGTCAACCTGCGCTTGCCCCATCAGACCCATCAGCTCTAAGGGCTTTCTGGTGCCAGCTATCCATGGTTCTCTATACTCGGTACGGAGGCCTGGGACACAGGCAGGGTCCCTGGATGAGCTCTGTTACAAACACCTGTGCTCTGTTAGGTGTACCAAGGCCCATTCCAAATACTACCGAATTACTTTTCTTTAAAGTTTGATGCACGAGGGGCACCTGGGTGGCTTAATCAGTTAAGTGGCCCACTTTCGGCTCAGGTGGTGATCTCACGGTTTGGGAGTTCGAGCCCCGCACTGGGCTCTGTGCTGGCAGCTCAGAGCCTGGAGCCTGCTTCGGATTCTGCGTCTCCCTCTCTCTCTGCCCCTCCCCTGCTGGCGCTCTGTCTCTCAAAATAATAAGTGAACATTACAAAAAAATAAATAAATAAAGTTTGACGCATGAGATTGTTTTTATTGATACTATTATCACCTGTTCTAGATTTCCCACATGTAAAGGCAAGGTTCTTCATAATTCTTTCCTCAATGGAGAAATATCAGCAAAAATATTCTCAGTTACTATAAATAAACTTGTTAGAATCAATACACTGAGATCTTTATGAATGCTTTTATTTTGCAAAAAAAAAAAAAGTCTGAATTATGATACATGCATAGGCTTAGCATCTGAAAGTCCTCAGCTGTGGGTTGCCCTGTCATTCTATGGTCTTCAACCCCCTGGCGCTTTGTTTCTTCTGGCCAGAGCTGAGCTCTCACAGCAGATGCCAGGCCCCTCTGCTGACCTGTCAGTGCAACGCTGGGTGAGGTGGCTTCATCCTGGGAGATGTGAATGTCTCGTCTTTGAGACTGTAGGATATTGAAGAGGCTTGCCTCTACTTACCAGGCTGGGTCTCGGACAAGTCTGTAAGGTGTGCTATTGAGGGCAGGCGGGAGTCTGTTGTGCAACATGCCCAGCAGAGGGCCTGGCACAGAGGTAAGAACTCCATCAACAGCCTCTCTGGTGACAGTGTTCTTGGCAGGGTTGGGGCTGTTTCCATGCTCCTGGCTCTGATGGTGGAATTCGCTCTAAGGAGATTCAGGGGCCCCAGGGATAGGGCTTCCAGGGGTCTCCAAGGTTGAGGAGTGTAGTAAAGCAGGCCCTCACTGCCCTACCGCTTTGCCACCTTCCCCACCCCTCCCAACAGGTGACACTGTTCTTCCAGGGGAGTGACAGGCTTGGGGGCAGGCACTTACCGAACACCCGTCTGCGGTTCTTGCGCAGGATGCAGGCTAAATACTCCTTGCCCTCGGCGCTCTCGTGCCAGTCTGGGACAATCACCGAGCCCGGGGCGGGTGGTCTGGCCATGGCCTGGCACCGCGACGGGGTAGAATGCTGAGTAGGGGGAGGGGAGAGGGTAAATGTCCTGAGCTGGACCTGCGATCCCTCTCAACCTGCTCTCTGACTCTTCCTCAGAACCCCAGCTCCCTCCTTGGG